GTGATGGCCTGAGCCAGTTGGTGGCTATTATTACCATGCACACACGTTACAGGTAGGGTGGTATGCATAACTGAGCTTTTCTGAAAGTTTACGCTTTAATTAAAAAGCCATCTAGAGCAGTCAGTTGCTTTGGTGAACTTTAGGCCATGGGCAAATCCCTTTTCTGACTCCAGTTTGAACCAAACTGCAAATCAAACCCAACTGGATTCAGAGCTGAAAAACACATCTGCCCATCCTTGCAAAGTGTCCAAATTGGTCTAAAGTAACCTGTTTAATTCGACCCTGTTTTTATCATTGAAACTGAGACATTGGCTACTTCCTGTTTCCCCATCGTGACTGGCAAAAATGTTGCGCATCAAAGCAATCTCCTACAGCACCAGGGGCAGCCTTCCAACCCCCACCCCCACCCCACATGTAGCATACAAGTAATAAATTAATATCAGCAGCACCCCTGAACTAGATGGACAAAGGAACCATGTGGAATGGACAGAAAATTTGCTGCCTAAACTTGATCCACTGTCAACCAAGAGACCTAACAGAGGCTAAAGTTGTAGCCTGTGGCTTACCCCTTCTTGCAAGAAAGTCTGTTTTTCCTGCACGCCCACAAACTGTTTATTATTCAGGAAAGCAGGGAATGTAAAACTCTATTTTGGGGAGCTAAAAAAATGAGCTTGATCTGACAGGAAGACAGGGACTGGTGATTCCAGAAATGGAAATGCAAGCCAAAATTGCAGATGGTACAGATCTACCACAATAGGTGCAGAGTACTTGGCCATAAAATGCACACTCAAGAATTCTGTTAAAAGCTCCTCTTGTGTATCCTTTTTCCTACTATGTCAATAAATCACAGGCTATGAACATCCCGCTCCCCAGCCTCAGCCATTTCCATTGCCTTTCCTTTCCTGTTTGATTTGAATTTATATAACAGAGAGGGTTTTTTCAAATGACATCGGACAATTGTTTCTATGGAAACATCAAATGCCAACACAAAGAGATAGCAAATTCTAAGAGAGTGATCATAGGATGGAAATGATGCAAAATCTAAGGAGAGAGGAATAGGGGGAAAATCAGGGAACTGTTCCCCCCCACCAAGGAATAACAGGGAAACACATTTTTTCACCATTTTCCCCCTGGTTCCTCCCCCATCTTGCCAGAGTGTCACATCTTTATTCCAATTTTACCCTAAAATACAGAATCTGTATTGGTCAAAGATGATGAAGGAGAGAATTAAAATCAAACAAAAGCACAGATTTCTGGCAACAGAGAAATATCGTCAGAGAGAGAAAAAAAATCGTGATGACTGTATCACTGGGGTCAAATAATCAGCTGTGTAACTTTTAAGAGCTGTGACTGAGCTTACTTCTTTCCTCTTCCCTCCACATTCTTTTCCCTTGTATGTCATACCTTTAGCGCTCCCTTGCAGAGCCAGCTTATACAAGTGCCGAAAGGCAAAAGTTTTCCGAGAAAAAAGTACTACATGTTTCAGCTGTAGCCATGCATGTTACCCCACCCCCAATACTGGGGAAAAACCCTTGCACCTAGAAATCTAGCTGGTCTCAGAACCTGATATGCTAGTTTTCTTAAGACTGCAAAGGAGGGGCTTGGAGACAGCACATGGCCTAGTTTGCTTCCCCCACTTCCACCAGCCATACCCTGGAAGAAGAGAAATTAGTACTTCATTTTTATTCTTGAAATTAGTTCTTCTCTGGCACCTTTATGTGATCAAGACAATGCGAGCTAAAGCCCATCCTCACCCACTTTCCCCATCTTTGTGGTTCAGCCACGCTATCATAAGATGCACCCACAATGACATAATACACCACTCTTTTGTTTCTCCTCTTCACTTCCCCTGCCATGATCAGAGGCGTACCATCTAAAACCCAACGTGGGAAAGCAGGAAGAATTTGAGAGGCCCAGCAAAGGCTGACGTTCAAGAGACCTTTGCTCTGTGGGACTACGCCTCTGTGGCTGCGCCAGCTCAAGGGTCCAAGCGTCCCCACGTCAAAGGTTGCAAGAGTGGTGAAAAGAAGTCCATCCAGCTTTCATGAGCTGGGAAGCACCTGAACCCCTCCAAAGATGCTCTCAGCCCATACAGGCGGTCCTGAACCAGACGGACCTCAGGAAGGGCGCACACCAGCTTTCTCACCTGCCCTGTGCAAAATGGGTGCTTTCCGAGCCCCCAAACCACAGCATCAATTTACAAAGGGGAGGGGGAGCCTCGACAGAGTCAATGGCACTAATGCCCCCTTCTATCATTCTGAACACAAACCAAGCCATGCAGTCTGCTCAGTTTTGGCACCTCAAGCTGGAGACAGCCAATCCTTTCCAAGCCTCCTTCTCAGACCCCCAAGAGATGCTGTTCCCCCCATTCAATTGCCTGATGGAAAAAGACCCCCCCCCCTTACCAGAAGATACTCCAGTCTTCCAAAAATCTTCATAATGCCCCTGTTGTGGCGTTTGGCTGGGCTCACTGAGCATACAAGCAATCACGCTCCAAACGGGTAATTCTGCATGGCATTACTAGCCAAGAAGGGTGTTTTCTGCTGCGTGCTAAAAATCTCTCTTATGCTGCTGTTTTTCCCTTGCTCGAAGGCTGGCCCGCTGGGTCCTGTCAGAGCAAGAGACGCTGGGAGAGTGAACCCAAGCACAGAGCTGGCTTGCCGGCCGCCCCCGCCCTCCCCCCCCCGCCCCCCCCCCGT